AATGCATCACTGTTAAAAGAACTGCAGTAAATATCACCTGCCTCAGGCCAGACCTGACTGACGTCCCGTGGCCACAACCGGCTGCTACACTGTACACCGATGGAAGAAGCAGCTTCGTCGCAGGAGTCAGGTATGCTGGGGTGGCAGTAGTTACCAGAGGGACTGTTATCTGGGCTCAGGCCCTGAGCCATGGAACGTCAGCTCAGCGAGCTGAACTCATCGCTGTGACCCAAGCACTCTGACGGGGTAAGTAGAAAACGGTTAACATCTATACAGACAGCAGGTATGCCTTTGCCACTGCACATATTCATAGGGCACTCTATAAAGAGAGAGGATTACTCACCTCAGCGGGGAAGGAAATCAGGAACAAAGAAGAGATCTCAGCTCTCTTGGAAGCCATCTGGCTGCCTAAGAAAGTAGCTATCATACATTGTCCAGGTCACCGGAGAACTGAGTCTGAGGTAGACCGGGGAAATGCCTTTGCCGACCAGACCACAAAGGAAGCCGCCCGAAAACCAGTGGGGCCTATTGACATTCTTCCAGTTCTGCCCCCCGGAACGCTTTCAGACTCACCCGTCTACACCCCGGGTAAACTTGAATTATGCAGTAAGCTAAAGGGAGTAAAAGGACCCACTGGGTGGATCCACCTCCCCGATGGACGCACCCTAGGACCCGGTGCCCTAAGTCAAGAACTAGTCTCACTAGTCCATGAGGACACCCACCTAGGAGGGATAAAGTTAAATGAACTTTTGAAAAGAGACTATTATATCCCAGGGCTACACAAAACTGCCAAAGAGGTAACAACAAGATGTCATATTTGCGCCCAAGTTAACCCTGGGCCTCCTGTTGAAGTACAAATTGGATGAAGACTCAGGAGCCAAGCCCTGGGAGAACATTGGGAATTAGACTTTACAGAAGTAAGCCCTGGAACTTTTGGATTTAAGTATCTACTCGTGTTTATCGACACCTACTCAGGATGGGCTGAAGCCTTCGCAACTAAGAGAGAAACTGCTCAGATAGTAGCTAAGAAATTAGTATCAGAAATAGTACCCCTATTCGGCTTGCCATTAGCACTGGGGTCCGACAATGGCCCGGTGTTTATCGCCAAAACAAGTCAAACCTTAGCCAAAACGTTATGTATTAATTGGAAACTACACTGTATATATAGACCTCAGAGTTCAGGCCAGGTAGAAAGAATGAACAGGACTTTAAAAGAAACTTTAACCAAGTTTAAACTTGAAACTGGTGAGAATTGGGTGAGCCTCCTCCCCTTTGCCCTTCTTAGGGTGAGATGTACCCCTTACCTCCAAGGCCTCACTCCATATGAAATCATATTTGGGAGACCGCCACCTCTTCTGCCCAAGATAGGGGTAGAAGAGGCGACTGAAATTCACAATTTCTCACTATTTAAGTCCTTACAGGCACTACACTCGGCAAGGAAGGAGATTCAACACTTAATCTCCGCCACCCGGGAGAGTCCTGGACAATCACTTAAACCTCATAGCCACTCCCCTGGTGACTGGATTTGGGTAAAGAAGACACGGCCAGCCGCCCTTGAGCCCCGCTGGGACGGACCCTTTCCTGTCATCTTCACCACTCCCACTGTGGTCAGGGTTGCTGGGAGACGTCATTGGATTCATCACACCCGCATCAAGGCTGTTCAATCACTCTTCACCCCTCCCACCACAGTCAGGGTTGCTGGGAGACCTCATTGGATTCATCACACCCGCATCAAGGCTGCTCAACCACCACCAGACACTGAGAAATGGTGTGTCCGCCCAACAGGAGACCCTCTCAAGATAAGACTCTCGTGGGTTTAATGATAGTAGGATTGATTGCTATCAATAGTGTAAGAGGGAATCCTCATCAACCTTTGCAAGCCAGATGGGAGCTAATTAGATCAGAAACAGGGGCTTCTATATCAGTTAATCAGACTATGTATCAACCTACATTCAATGTAGATCTATGTGCCATCCTCGGGCAGCCTGAAAAAGCTTTCTATAAGGCAAGAGGCCGACTCTGGTCATCTCCATATGGGTGCACATACCCCGCTATGGAAAGAAGCCTTCAAGAAACACAGCTTTATATGTGTCCTCAGGGAGGAAGCCCCACATGTGCTAAGCTAAATGAATATTATTGTGCCAATTGGGGTTGTGAGACCATAGCTCCCTGGAAAAATACTGACCCTTTCCTGACTCTTACCCGTCCTAGTCAATCCTCTTGTACCAGCTCAGGAAAATGTAATCCTATTATTCTCACTGTGAAACGATGGACACACCCGTTCTGGCTTACAGGGAAAACATAGAGTCTAAGGTTATATGTTTCTGGAACGGATCCAGGGTTACTCATAACAATTCAGAAGAAACCAGTTACGGCCCCCATACATCCGATTGGGCCAAACTCATTTCTATTTCGGAATCCAAACCCATACAGGCCAAGACCTAAGCATAAAGCATAAGGTTACGACCCCTGCTCCAAGCCAAGGGCCTACCCATCGTGCCCCTAGGATAAGAGCAACTCCAAATACCCCACAAGATTCTATATTGAAAATGTTAACAGCCGTATACAAGTTTGTTAATACTAGTAATCCAAATATCACAGATGATTGTTGGTTTTGCCTTAACCCGGCGTCCCCATATTATGTAGGATTGGGAGCTGTTGCTATTTTGGGAAGTAATGAAAGTACTATAAGGAATCTGTCTGCCCCTAATAATACTGTTTGCCCCTGGAGAAAGCACCCAAAGCTGACTCTTGGAGATCTCCAGGGACAAGGAACTTGTATATACACCTCTTCTTATCGTATTAATGATTCTACTTATAGAGAAAATTGCAATACAGCTATACAGGTGAAATCAACGTCTAACAACTACTTAGCTGCTCCTAAGGGAACTTGGTTTGCTTGTAATACTGGATTAACCCCTTGTATTAACCTTAACTACTGGGGAGAAAATGCTGGATTTTGCATCCTAGTTCATGTCATTCCTCAAGTCTACTTTTATTCTGGTGAGGAGGGGCGAGAGCACTTCCAATATCTAGAGGCCAGAGTGAAAAGGGCTCCTATTTTAGTTCCCCTTTTAGTAGGAATAGGGGTGGCAGGATCTGCTGCAGTAGGAACGGCAGCCCTTGTTACTGGAAGTTCCAACTATAAGGCCTTAAGCCAACAAATAAATGAAGACCTATCGACTCTTGAAAAATCTATCAATCACCTTGAGACCTCTCTTAACTCCTTGGCTGAAGTAGTCCTGCAGAACAGAAGAGGACTAGACCTTCTGTTTCTAAAACAAGGCGGTCTCTGCATAGCACTAGGTCAAACTTGCTGTTTTTATGCCAACCATTCTGGAATTATACGAGACAGCCTAGTGCTAATAAGACAGAGGGTTAAAGACAGAGAAGAACGACTTAGGCACGGAGAATCTTGGTATGAAGGACTTTTTAATAACACCCCTTGGTTAACAACTCTCCTGACAGCCATTACAGGCCCCCTTATTCTAGTCTTCCTGGGCCTTTTGTTCGGGCCCTGTGTAATTAATTGGATAACTGCCTATGTTAAGAAGCGGGTACAGGCAGTAAAACTCTTAGTTCTCAGAACTCATTACCAGCCACTCCAGGTTGAAGATTCAATGGTTTGAATTCCTACGAAAACCAGTGGGGAATGGAAAAGCGGAAATTCTCCAGTTTCAGGGAAGAGGTATCTCCAGGCGCCATCTCCTAGGGAGAGCAGTAACTCAATTACAGGGAGGTGATTTCCCCGGGTGCCAGCTCCAGGGAGAAGCGCAACATTCCAAGGAAAAGATGATAGAACTGTCTATTAGGCCCTGTTTGCTGGGAGTTCCCCTGAATACATTTATCTGTGTACAAAGAGTTAACGACTAACTTCTGCTTCATGTAATCTGTTCATTCAAAGATGTAGTAAAAAACCTTATAAGCAGCCTGCTCGGGAAGCTTGGGGCTGATCTCTTCTAACCCTACGTGGTAGAGTGTCGCCGGCCAGCTAATAAAGGCTCATAATTAATCTCATTTGGCTCTGTGGGTCTCAGAATCATTCGCGCCACAACAAGATCAATTTTAGAATGAATTAGGAAGCTTCCTACCTCTTTCTATTTGTGGAGCAGTTTAATTGTCATGGGTTTTATCTGTCCTTTGAAAACTTGAAAGGCTGCAACAGTAAAACTACGGGGGCCTCGTGTGTGAAGGGATAGGGCATGTCATTGAAGAGAGCTCTCAAACTTCAATTTCTTGCTTGATTATATTAGTCCATTGTGTATTCGTGTTTTTGTTGCTGGTGTTTTGGTTTTTACTTCTTCAAATGAATATTGGAAACAGTTCTCCTAAACCATCTATTTGCTCAAACTCGCCAGTAAGCAAACTAATGCAATTTAAAACAACCTATTTCTCCCATTAGGAAAAATTAAAATAAAATGTCTAATATGTATGAGGCCATAGAGAATGTTCATGAGTATGTCAGTTGTTCCTGCCCTATTTGCTAGGCAACTAAGGGGCGGGGGGGTGGCGGGGTTCATCAAAATGAAAGAGGATAACCCCGCACTTGAAGATGTCCGGGGTACCAGTAATATTGTTTCCTATAAGGGTGCCGGTGATATGGAGTGTACAGTTTATAAAATTCATTGAGCTTTGTACTTACATGCACAACTTTCTGCATGTGTATATCTCAGTTATGTTTTTAAAATATGGCTTTTGCCACAGCTGTATACACGGACTTTGCTTACCCGAGGAGACCATGCACTTCCTAAGGAAATTACTAATGCCAGACCCAGCTCTGGGACTCCTGCTTCCCTAACTCAGACAAATTTAATGGCTTCCGCTCCCTATTTTCTACTGCTTTGAATCCCTCCGTCAAACTGGGGTTGGCGCCGGTCATCTCCTAGAGAAGATTTCTGGGGAGACGCAAAAATGCCTCTGCCATTTTGCCCCATGGCAGTTCCGCGAAAGACGACCTGTCTCCGCCCCTGTATTAGGAGACCCCGCCCCCGCCCGAGGGAGGCCGCCCCCGACGTCACGTGTCTGTCGCCTCAGCTGATTCGGTGCGACCGGAAGGAGAAAGACTCGGGCTGGGCTTCCTGGCGCGATGGTGAGGGTTGAGGGAGGGGATGCGAGGCACGGGGGTGCTGGGCGGGCAGGGCAGGGTTCCCCAGATCTCGTTGCTGTCTCTGCAGAAGGGTGGGGAGCGGGTGCGCGGAAATGGGGAGGCCACCTTGGCCCCTGGGCAGACTCCATGGATACAGTCGTGCGGACCCAGGGCTGGGAGAGAAAAGGCCCCGTCACCCAATGCGCAGCCTGGTGGGCAGGATAGGTCGGCAGGCTGGGCCTCCCAGGCGTTTCTTGGGTGGGAAGGAAGGTCCCCGTACCCCGGGGCAGCACCTGAGGCTCGTCCAGAGCGGGAGTCCTTCCAGGCCTTCCCCAGTTCCAAGAGGACCTCACAAAGGTGCCCATTTCCTAGCCCTCCTGTGGGGACAAGAACTTGCTTAGAATTAGGCTCAGTCTCATTCTTCACTGTTAAGCCCCTTCTCTCTTCCCAGAGCCAGAAAGGAATAGGTTTTGGATTGGGACTTCCCAACTCATCCGTTCAGTCACTCCTTTAACAGATTTTGAGCGCCTGCTCTACACTATGCACTGTTCCAGGCACAGGGACTTCAGCTGCAGGGAAGAGCAAAGTTGGAGGCTTCATTTGGCAGACATAGTTAAGACTCGAGGGGTAGGGACCTAACAGCGTTTTCAGCATAGTGTTAGGAAAGCTTGCTGAGGGCCTGGGGGCAGGGAAGAAAGCTGGCTGGGTGCAGTGCAGTTGTGTACTAGGCGTTAGTAGGCAGGTAGGGTGAGGCTATATCTTCAAACAGAATAGCATGTTCAAAGACTTCATGGGATATGGAGAGCATGATTCCCTAGGAAAGTATGCATTTCCTCAGCTGGAAGAGTATAAACTGGAGATTAGTGAAAGATGAGGCTGGACCCGTAAGCAAAGACAAAAGCTTACTGGGTCTTGAGAGCCATATAAAGGAGTTTGGACTTTAAGGCCGACTTGTGGAAAGAACAAAAGGAGAGTAGAGAGCCCAGGATAGGGCAGCAGACCCTCAGGAGATGGTGGTGACCTGAGATGGTGGAGAGAGTGGAGATGGAAGTGCGGGTGAGTCAGCAGGGCTCAGGGAAAATGCATGAGGAAAAAGGAGAGGGAGGCGTCTGGGCTTGATTCTCAGGTGGTGGTGCTTAGTGGGCTGGGAAGCCCAGCAGGGGGTGCAGGTTTCAGTGGAAGAGCACCAGTTACTTTGATACACTGCCAAGTGAGGTGACTGTGAGCCGCCAGGTACAGCTGGCTATATGAGACAGTCTAGATTTGACAGTCTGGAGCTCAGAAGAATCTGCATTGGCAATTGTAAGTTTAGGAGTCACCAGCACAAAAGTGATCATTGAACCCTAAAAATGTGTAACCTGACTCAGTGAGAATGTGAGTTTGGAAGAGGGGGCTTAGGACAGAGCCTAGAGAAATGACAGCTTTTAAAGAAAGTACCAAGGAACACCTCGTGGTAAAAAATATAAAAGAGATGGCAGAAATCAGAAAAATACAGAGATGGTAGAAGACTTCTGTAGGTAGAAGCCAGGGGTCCACAAACTTGGGGAAAACCTTACATCTTAATTTTCACTACATTTCAAACTGAAATTTAGTATTTCCTTCGATTATGGATGCCAGCAACAAACCCAAGTAGTATTAGCATCTCTTACTTTGTCACTAACAGAAATCAGATATTTTCACATCATGTCACAGATGTTGACACTGTATGTGTAGTGTTTATGCTCATTTCTAAATTACAATGATTATTAAACTTGAAACATATACCATATCACCAGTTTGTTTTAAGATTTTGATAACTTTTGTTTCCTTTGCAATCCTATGTATTTTATGCATGTAAAACCATTGTTTGAGAAAGGCCTATAGACTTTACCAGATGTCAGATGAGTCCATGGCACAAAAAAGTTAAAATCCTTTGAAATAGAGGAAGATGTGCAAGACTGTCCTTAACGCTCCGTTATCTCACCAGCAGTCACAGTCCATTGCCCCAGAATAATGACAGCAGGCAGTCTGCAGAGATCATCACTGGGGGCTGGGGACCTTTTGACCCAGCCAGTGAGACAGGTCAGGCCAGAGGGAAAAATCTGAAAGAGTATGCTGTTTCAAGAAGGTTGGGTGCATGTCAGATGCTGCTGAGTTAAGGGGAAGACTGGATTTAGTGATGATAATCATGTTCGTGACAGTGACTAGAGGACTTCACTGGAGGCCCATGTAGAAGCCCCAGTGCAGTAGAGTCAGGTGTGATCAAGCAGTGCGGCAGATAAAAAAAGAGCAGGAGAGTTGAAGGTGGAAGGGTTGTGGAGCAGGTCTGAAGTGGCTGTTAAGATGAACAGTAGGGCCAATTAGGGGATGTAGAGTTGCCAGGCTCCATTGAGAGCCCAGTAGAATCAGGTGAACCTAGATTTGTGGTATTCTTAGTTTGCCGGGTTTGTTCCCAGCATTTGTAAGCAGCCTAGGAAGAGGTGTGGAAAGATGAACATGTATATTGCTGTAGGTTAGAGTTTTCCCAGACAAACAGAACAAAGGACAACTAATCAAGGGAATGGAGGATACTGGCAAGACGTGGTTGACAGGGTGGGTTTGCATTCTAACAGAAGAGACAGATCTCAAATAATAAGATGTTATATATGCTGTGATAACTGCCATGGAGATCAAGAAAGAAACATAAGGGGCTAAGGTATGACGGTAAAGAGCAATTTTTTAAAACAACTTTATTGAAAATCACACATATGTAAATGTACAGTTCAGTAAGTTTTGACATGTATGCGCACATGAAAATGTTACCAGGACCAAGATCATGAACATATCCACTGGCCCCTGAAATTTCTTTGTGTGAGGAGTTGACTTAGAAAGTATGGTCAGAGAAGGCCCACCGGAAGAGGTGTGGTTTGAGCAGAGACCTGAATGAAGTGAGAGAACAAGCAAGCCACAGGGACTATGGCAGGGGTGTGCCTGTTGTAATAGGAACAGCAGGGAGGCCAGTGTGACTGGAACCTGGGAGGGAAAGGAGGAGGTGAGAGATCTTTGGCTTTGAGGTGAGGCCAGGGACTTTGTTTTGTTCTGTGCTGTACCCCAGTACTTAGAGCAAGACCTGCCATAGAGAAGGCACCCAATCAATGTTTGTTGAGCAGATGAATGCCTGGAATAGGGTTTGGTGGCAGGGTAGGTCAGGCAGAGGGTTCTCTAAACAACCTAGTAATCAGGAAAAAAAAATTGACAGAGGGCATCCATCTTGGACAGGGAGCAGGGGTCCCTGAGGAGCAATAATGTGGGAAACACCTGGCCATACCTGAGCCCTCCTTCCATCCTGACCTTCTGCCTCATTCCCGTGCAGAGGTTCCGGTTCTGTGGTGATCTGGACTGTCCTGACTGGGTCCTGGCAGAGATCAGCACACTTGCCAAGATTGTTGAGTGCACAGGGTCTTCTTGGGAGTGGGAGAAGGGAGGGATTGTGAATGGGGACTCTGGGAAGGGAGGGTGGTGAGGTCACTTGGGTCTGGGCCTCATGGCTTTCAGCCCATTCTAGCATGCTGTGTGACTGATCACGTGGCTAGCCCTCTCTAAGCCAGCCCCCCAGCATGGAGGGCTGAGGTGCGCCAGTCTGGCTGAGGTAATGCCTTTCCCTCCAGTCCTCCGTGAAGCTGAGGTTGCTGTGCAGCCAGGTGCTGAAGGAGCTTCTGGGACAGGGAATTGACGTGAGTACCTGACCCAGTACCCCATTGTCCTACGACTCTATGACCCCCACTGCTCTGAAAGTGCACCAGACCCAGGGAGGTGGGTGATCAGCTTCCTGCCCTCCTGGATACCTCCCTTCCTTACCATAGGATCCAGGCTGGGAAAGGTGGGGAGCTGGCAAGCAGGGATCTGGCACCCCCTGAAGGCCTTCTCTCCCCACAGTATGAGAAGGTCCTGAAGCTCACTGCTGACGCCAGGTTTGGTGAGTACCCCACTGAGTCCATCGACCTTTGGGCAACTCTGGGTACTCAGCCCATGACCTGGCACAGAGGCCCCTCTTCCCAGCAGCCCACCCTGACCCACCTGCGTCAGCAAAGAAATCTAAGAAGAAAGATGTTGACAGTTCTGCCCCCAGTGTCTTCTGCCAGCAGTAGCAGTGCTCTTGGCTCAAGGAGGCCTGGGGGCTCTGAGCTGAAGATAGTAGGGCAGCAAGGAGATGGCTGGGGCCACAGTGACACCTCCTCCCCCACCCATGGGTCCCCTCAGAGTCGGGCGATGTGAAAGCCACAGTGGCAGTGCTGAGTTTCATCCTCTCCAGTGCGGCCAAGCATAGTGTGGATGGAGAGTCCTTGTCCAGTGAATTGCAGCAGCTTGGGCTGCCTAAAGGTACGGGGACTTGGGCAGACCATTCAGTGGGTAACTGGTGGGTCAAGAGCTTCAGGGCAGCAGGCTAGGCCAAGAGACCCAGGGAGATACACTCTGTTCTCCCTGGGCCAGGAGTCTGACACCTGCCCCAGTCCCCACCTGCTACCTCAAGGGACCTCCATTCTATCTCCAGAGCACGCGGCTAGTCTGTGTCGCTGTTACGAGGAGAAGCAAAACCCCCTGCAGGAGCACCTGCGGGCCTGCAGCTTGCGTGGTAAGTGTGGAGCAGGCCCAGGTGGGGTCTGGGCTCCATTCTAGAAGGTGCATGTAGCATGGAAGGTACATGTCCTCAGAAAAAAAGTTACCCATGGTCACATGTCATAGTCACAGAGCTGGAACTATTGACTCCAGCCAAATTTCTTTCCTCTGAGATCTAGTGTGGATAATTTGAGCTCCGAATTGAGCACCTACCCTGGTGCTCAAAGGAACAAGAGCTTCCCCAAGGTCACACAGTCTTGATCCTGAGAGCCCCACCCCATCCCACAGTGAATAGGCTGGCAGGCGTGGGCTGGCGGGTGGACCATACCCTGAGTTCCAGCCTGCTGCGGTCCGTGGAAGAGCCCATGGTACACCTGCGCCTGGAGGTAGCAGCTTCACTGGGTGCCCCGGCCCAGCCTGTTGTTATGTCCCTCTCAGCAAACAAGTTCCGGGTCCTTCTGGCAGGTAAGGCTCAGCTGTACTTGGCGGTGTTAAGGGTCCTCCCAAGTCTCACCTGACTGCTGCTCACCTGTCTACCTCTTCCCCTGCAGAACTGAAGCAGGCCCAGACCCTGATGAGCTCCTTGGGCTGAGGAGAGGAGTGTTTGGGACCCTCATGAAGCTGTCCTACCCATGTTGAGTTGCTGCCCTCCGAACTTCTCTTCAGGACCCTGGGGGCCTGTCCTGTATCTCTGGCTTCCTAGGTACCTACTTGAGAATTCAGCATAGGGATCCCAGCATTGCCTCCCCTCCCTTATGAAAGACACTTGTCAATGGTTTTCTCGAGCAGGAAGAATAAACAGAAGCGTAAAGGAGTGTGTGCTAGGTTTCTTTTTAGGTTCAGATCAAAGGTGTTTGTGAGGGGGACCAAGTGACACATGGACCTCCCTGGCCCATCACTCATTTACTCTCTTTAACTGCTGATTGAGGCAGGTCAGGGCTGAGGCAGATGGAAGACCAAAATGGAACAGCTTGTCTGTAGATGGGAAAATCAGGGTTCTAGCTCTCAGTCCTATGATGCTCTTGGCTCTGCACTCTTTATGTGGCCTTGGCATTAGGCTGGCAGCAAGTGGTGCCCCAGTACCAGATGCCCCAAGTGGAGAAAGGAAAGAACTCTTCGCTTCCTGCCATCTTTAGAAAGAGAGGAATGAGGTTATGGGCTGAATGTGTCCCCCACAAATTTATATGGTGAAACCCTAACTCCTAATGAGATGGTTTTAGGAAGTGGTGCTTTAGGGCAGTAATTAAGTTTAGATGAGGTCAAGAGAGTGGGGCCCTCATGATGGGATTAATGCCCTTATAAGAGAGAGATCAAGAGACTCTCTTCACAAGCATGTTCCAAGGAAAGTCCACATGAGAACACAGCAAGAAGACAGCTGTCTACAAGGCAGGAGAGGATTCTCACCAGGAACTGAATCTTCCAGCTCCTTGATCTTGGACTTCCAAGAATTATGGAACTATGAGGAGTTGATGTCTGTTTTTGAAGCCATCCAGTCTATGGTATTAGCCTGAGCAGGCTAAGGAAGACTGTCTTAGACCAACCAGGGCTCCTTGTAGAAGACTGATTCTAGGGCTGAGGTAGGAAGAGTACAAGGTGAACCTAGAACATCTTGGGGTACAGAGAAGCAATCAAGGAATAATGAGTCATGTCAAAGGGAGCCAAAGGCTGGACAATCTAAGGATCAAAAAGATAGGACTGTTTCTGACTTCTGCTTTTGGAAGAATGGAGCAGATGAGCTTTTCCCTATTCCCACTAAGTACAGCTAAAACCCTTGGATATCGCATATAAAACAAACATAAGAAGACTAAAAGGTAGAAGAAGGCAGACTAGCTAGGACCCTCAGGACTTGAAGAACAACGTAGCAAAGTATTCCTTAGATTTTCTTTTTGCCTTATGTATCCTGAGCTGGGTGTTGGAGAAGCCAGCAACCTGGAAACACCAACACAGAAACAAAAGCACCAGCAAACGCCTGCTCTCTTACCGAAGGACCAGGAAAGGGTGGTCCAGCAAGACAAATCTTACGGGCAGGAACTGCTGCACTCCTGCCACACACAATAAGTGTAGCCCCTCTTCCAGCTGCCAGCAGAGGCCTAGATACCCATCGGACGGTAAGCAGGTGGCATCCCCCTTTCCCCACTGGCACTGTGTCAGAGGAGGCCTGCTAAAAGAGATGATTAAGATCCAAAGTGTTATAAAACCCAAAATGTCCAGGATTCAAAAAAAAAAAAAAAAAAATCATACCAAGAACCAAGGGAATTTCAATTTGAATGAGAAACAACTGACACCAACACCAAGATGACTCAGATGTTAGAATTCAATGCCAAAGATTTTAAAGCAGCCGTCATAAAAATGCTTCAAATCTCAGCAAAGAAATAGGAGATATAAAGAACCAGATAGAAATATTGGAACTGAAAGGTACAATAACCATAGTAAAACTTTCAATGGATGGACTTAACAGTGAAGAAACGTCAATAGAAATTACCCAGTCTGAACAATAAAGAGAAAATAGCTTGGAAAACAAACCAAAAAATCCAATAAAACAACTTCAGGGACCTGTAGGACTGTAACAAAAGATCTAATATTCGTGTCATCACAGAGTCCCAGAAGATAAAAACAGTTGGAACAGAGAAAGAATGGCTTAAAAACTCCCAAATATGGCAAAAGACATAAACCTATACAATCAAGAAGCAGAATGGACACAAAGAAATCCATGCCATATCATAATCAAACTTCTGAAAAGTAAAGAAAAAATCTTGAAAACAGCAAGAGAGAAACAACAACACCTTATCTATAGGAGGGAAACAATGCAAATAAAGTAGATTTCTCATTAGAAACCATAGAAGCCAGAAGGAAAGACAACAGCATTTTTCAGGCCCTGAAAGAAAAGAATTGTCAACCCAGAATTCTATATTCAGCGAAAATTATCTCAAGAATAAAAGGAGAAATCAAGACATTCTCAGGTAAAGGATAACTGATATAATTTGTTATCAGCAGAACTAACCGAAAAATGAAAAGGCTAAAGGAGGATCTCTAAATAGAAAAGAAATAAAAGAAGGATTCTTGGAAAGATTAAAAATATGGATACAGTAGACTTCTTTCGAACATTTTAAATTATGTTTGACAGTTGAAGCAAAACTTATAAGAGTTGGATGTGGTTCTCTATGTAGAGGAAATACTTAGGGTTATTATAAACAGAAGAGGTTAAAGGAAGGTGAAGTTTCTACAGTCAAAACTGACAAAATGACACCGGTGAACTATGACAAGTATATGTGTGTAATGTAAGACAGTAAGTCCTCAACATTGTTGATAAGTTCTGCAGCTTAAGCGAAATGACATACAACAAAACCAATTTTATCATACATAGGCTAACCAATATAAGCAAGAGTTAAGTTCCTACAGCATCTCATTGATGTTATAACAAAACCATATTGAATGTAACATTTGAGGACCCTACTGTACTTAGACACACTCAAACAATTTAGATAAGTCAAACTGGAATTCTGAAAATGTTCAAGTAGCCCACAGGAGGGCAAGAAAAAACAAAAATGAAAAATGGAATAAAGTAAGTGGCAAAGCCACAAGGAAAGTTCTAGGTCTCATCAAATATATATTAGCTTCATTTCCCAGGTAGCATACCCACTTCTGTGTTATCATAGACTCCCACAGGCACTTCTCTCATTGCCATTGTAACATTCCATTGTAATTTTGTATTTATTCATTTGCCTCTGTTTTTACCAGCCTGAGTTTCTTAAAGATGGGAATTGTGTTTCTATGTTTGTATAGCCTCAATACTTTATTACTCTTAAGAATAAATGGGTTAGGGAGAGAGATAGGACTACAATGGATTTAAAGATGTTAAATGTAAAAAAATCCATGAGTCCATAAAAAAGTCCCTGCCCCGCCCAAACCCCAAATCAATCCTAATTTGTCACCATTGGATGTTGTTATTGCACCAAATTCTTAGTCTGAAAATGGGTCAGGGAAGGAATTCAGAATTTATCCTGTCTTTTTAGTATTTCATGTCAACCAAATAACTGTAGTGAATGAGGAAAAGCTCTTCTTTTCAGAAAAATTCCAACTAATGTAGAAGGAATGACAGAAAATAGCCATTTTGTGACTCCCAATTAAGTACTTGATTGAGGCAAGGATTGTCAAGGATGCTAAAGTCATGAGGTGAAAGGTGGATGGATGTGAAACTGGCTATTTGTGTGGTGCTAGACAATCACCTCACATAACTCAATGCCTCTCAGCCAGTAGTAAGTGGATGAACACCCTGGTACATCCACATAGTGGAATACTACTCGGCAATAAAAAAGAATGAGCTGATAAGCATAACAACTTGGATGGATCTCAAATGCATTATGCTAAGAGAAAGAACCACATCAATGTATGTCAACTATGATTGAAACATAATTTAAAAAAAAACAGACTCAAAAGGCTACATATTAAGGATTCCATTTATATGATAATATGGAGAAGGCAAAAACTAGAGAGACAGAAAACAGATCAGGGGTTGTCAGGAGGTTGGGTGGATTACAAAGGTGTATGGGCAAACTTTAGGGGGTGATGGAAATATGTTATCTCTTGGTTGTGGTGATGGTTCCATGAGTGTATGTATTTGTCAAAACTCACATCCTAAAAAGTGTGCATTTTACTCTGTAAATTATATCATAATTTAAATAAAAAAGAGACCAACAAAACAAATCACCCCATAGATTATTTAGGGGTCAGAATTTTTCAAATATACCTTTACAAAGCGGAAGTCTGGCTTTCACAGCCTAACCCATGATCAGATTCAGCCTCGCTAAAGTGGGATAATCAGATATTGGGTCCCTTCTAATGTGATGCAATATGCAGGACAGAGCAGCATCTAGGAAGTATCCTTGAATACATGTAGCCAAGCCTTTAGATCTGATTCCCAGTGTGCAGAAAAAACTAAGAGAAACAAGTTAACATCTGAGGAAACAGACTGCCTTGAACAAACAGCAATAAAAGACATTTTGGGGACAGTTAGGGAAATTCGAATGTGCACGGTGTTAGATGATATTAATTTATTGTTGACTTCACTAAGGATGATAAAGGTATTGTGGTGCAGAAAGTTGCTTTTTAGAGATGCATGCTGAAGTGTAAGGGATGAAGTGTCATATTTGTCTAATTTACTTTAAAATACGTCTTTAGAAATAATTAATAGATGAAGGGGGAGGAAGCAGAAATCCTAATATGAAGGGGGCAGTCCATGGGTCTGGGGCAGGAACACAGGATGAAATGCAAACTCCTTAGAGAGGACTGAGGCCTGACCTGACTTGACTTTTCTTGTGTGTCTGTTCTCACCTCCCAGCATTCTCCCAGCTACACAGGCCTTCTTTGAATGGGCCAATTGCTTTCCTTCCTTCAGGCATTTGGACTAGCCTTCTTTTCCACCTGGCATGTTGTGTTGTCCCCACTCTTCTGCGGTATCAGCCTAGATTTCACTGCAGAGAGACCCTCCCCCACAGAACCATCTGATGTGGGTTCTGCTTCTAGGGCCCCTGTTTTTTGTTGCTTGGCTGCACTTCCCACGCGCAGGTGGTGATGATGTTTGTTTATGTTATGTCTGTGCGTTGATATTTAGGGCCATCACAGGGTCCCCAGGGCCTGCGTTTACCGCGCACCTGCGCGCTCTCTGCGTACATCTGCAGGTAACTCTGCATTGAAATGTGCCTGCTGTTTCGTGCTTGGAGTGCCGACCGTGTCACTATCCTGGTGACTTCCCCAGCCACCGAGACAGTTGCGAAGCGGGACCGCGGACTTGACCCCATTTCCCGCTGGCGCCATCTCCTAGCCAGCTGACTGCCCCAAAGCCTTTCCTACACCCCGGAACCTCCAGCTCGGGGACCCCACCCTGAAGGCCTCTGCTCCTGCCTGAGGAACTACACTTCCCAGCGGAAACTAGAGCAGTGACTGCAGCTCCCAGTGTGCTCTTCGGCGTGGCTCCGCCCGCGACAGTAACTCCTAAGTGGCTGAAGTTTGGCGGGTGCAGGGAGCAGGTACCCCGGGGCGGGGCACGGCACTGGGAGTGTGTACCGCAGAGCTGAGGGGAGGATGAGATTTGCTAGCTTTGGAGAGGAAGGGAGTCAGGGTGTGTGAGGGACAGGTAGCGGGGGTGAGTGGTGAGGGTTGGGGGAGCCAGCCACAGAGCGCCCGCCCCTCGCGGAATTAGAAATCTGGACCGTCACCTTTTCCCGCAGAACGGTGTTGGGGGAAGGGAAAGGTGTCTGTTCCGGATTAACTCCCCTTCTGTCACCACACCTGCGCCTTTGATCCCGCCGCTTCCGGGGTGGGAGAGGGAAGCGGCAAGCTCTTCAACCGCTCCAAGAGGGCAGGGTTAGGGAGAGGTGGAATGGGTTCCCCTCCTACCTGAGCGGTGACTGGGTGTGGCTTCATCTGGCCTGGACCTTGGCCTGGAGCTCGTGGAGACTCTCCTGGAGCCTCTGGTCTCCCTTGCAGCCGCGGGGACCTGGCTGCAGCGCTGACATACCTGGAGACACTTGCGTCCCCTCCTCTTGTCCTCGTTCCAGCCCTGACTCGGCCTCACTGCCAGCTGAGCCTCTTTGTGTTAGTTTTCCCAGTTCCCAACTCCCAGGCCAGGTCAGGTTCATCCCCTCAGTGGTTGTAGCAACAGATGAAGTTGTTTCTGTGGGGTGATGACCAAGCTGAGCTTCCACTGGGGTGAGAGTGGAGGCAGAGGCAGATAACAGACAATAAGACAATTTCAGATTTGGGAGTGCCATAAAGGAAAAAAAAAACGTGTGTCGGGGGCCAGGGTGGAGGGAGGCGGGGGCATGCTACCTAGGAAAGGTGGTCAGGGAGGGTGGCTCAAGTGTTCCCAGACTGAGGGGGCAGCAGGGGCATAGGCATGAGGGTGGGAAGAGCAGTGTGCTTGGGGCACATGAGTGAGGGGGAGCCTGGGAGGAAATAAGATAACATTGTAGGCCCTGGAAGGATCTGGACTTTATTCTAAAAGCAGCAACAGTATGGAAGCCCATGGAAGGTGTTGATGAGGAAGTCAGTCACCCTTTCCTAGCCTGAGCTCTCAGTGCCCTGGGCTTTCCCACCCTTTTCAGGCCAGCTGAGTTTCCTGCCAATCCCAGCTGCCCATGGTCCCCTATGATCCTCGAGGTCTTCCTCTGTAAAATGTGGGTGATAATTCCTACCTCACAAAGTGCACACCTGGCCCAATTTTCTGTTTTCCTCCTCCAACAGGGCCTGGCCACTCCTCACACAGAATGCCCGAGGGACCTGAGCTGCATCTTGCCAGCCACTTTGTGAACGAGGCATGCAGGGGTCTGGTGTTTGGTGGGTGTGTGGAAAAGTCACCCATCAGCCGCAACCCTGAGGTGCCCTTTGAGAGCAGCGCCTACCACATCTCAGCCTTAGCCCGTGGCAAGGAGCTGCGCCTGACACTGAGCCCCCTGCCTGGGGCCCAACCCCTACGGGAGCCACTGGCTCTTGTCTTCCGCTTTGGCATGTCCGGCTCCTTCCAGCTAGCCCCCAGTGATGCACTGCCACCCCATGCTCATCTGCGCTTTTACACAGCTCCACCTAGCCCCAGACTTGCCCTCTGCTTTGTGGACATCCGCCGCTTCGGCCACTGGGAGCTTGGAGGAAAGTGGCAGCCAGGGCGTGGGCCATGTGTCTTGCTGGAGTACGAACAGTTCAGGTAGGTCAGCACCAGGTGTAATGAACATAGCCCTAGGTTCTAGGTCTGACTCTATTAGTGCCTTATTGGCCAATCCCAGCCCCTTCTGAGCCTTAGTCCCTTCCTCCGTAGACTAGGACAGTGTACTTCCCTGGGGACAGCTCCAAGCTAATGGATGTGGAAACCCAAAACTGATGTAGTAGGATTTGGGGGCAAAATGTGGATAGATGGGTAGGCATGCCCTGAGCACATGGCCAGTTAGTGTCAGAGCTGAGATTGGATCAGCACCCCACACTGCTTCTTGGTGCCCTTAGGAGGCTAAGAGGAAAGGTAGAGGGCTTTAACATGAAAGGGAGGCTGAGTGGGAAGGAAGTTTCAAGGCAGTGGGGAGGGGACTGGCTGACATGGTTTCTGAATCAGGTTTTGTGGTCTCCCACATTCTGCCTACTCACTGGTCTGTGTCCTGTGGTCTCCTCTGTGACTGTCTCCTGCCTGTGGGAGAGGTAACAGCCCTACCTGGGATGTGATGCAGGTCACGTAAGATGGCAGTGTCAGCCGCTTCCCTTCCTTTAAAGAGGAAATGTGTATGAACCCTGCTTCATGCCAGGCTCTGTTCTAGGTGCTGGGGATACAGCAGTGATCAAGATGGATGTGGTCTCTGCTACCAGAGCTGAAGTTCAGGCAGGGCAGGGAGAACAAGGAAACAAACTAGATAAATTCAAATAGACACATGCCTGAAGAAAAATCCAGAAAGGAGAGAATGATTTTTGGCCAGGATGTAGAGGGCATTAGGAAAGGCCACTCTAGGAGGTGACATTTGAGCTGAGGCCTGCCTGAGAGCCAGACATACAAAGCTGTAGAGGGAAAGCATTCAAACTGACATAATCTCAACACACAAAGGCCTGGAACAGATCTGGCAGATCCTCCCTTCCTTAAGGACAGCCCACTTTAGGAGACTTGGCTGCCTATTGGGGTGGGTCAGGGTGTCTCTGGTGCCACAGAAGGCAGTTGACTCCTGGCCTTCCTAGGCATAACCCCAAGTGCGCCCGCCCCCAGGAAAATATCAGTGGTCCTGAATGCTTCCACATCACCTCTCCTGGGGAGTCATGCCACAAGTTGACTCTTTGCCAACCAGCTCTTAAGTTTCTCTCACATGATGAGCATTTTGGTTTTCTTAGTCCTTTAGCCGAGGAGCCTATGGGGATTTGCAACTCTCAGGGAGCTGGCCAACCAGGCTAAGCTTCCATTCTTTTATCTCAAAACTCCCTTCAGGTCCCCTATTTCATGTGCTCCTCAGGCCCATCAGTCTTGACATGACCCTCTTCCATAAAAAAAGATGCATTTGTTCTTCATGTGGTGAAGAGAGACTCATGGCCTTGTAAGTGGGATGGGAGCTGCTAGGGCCCTCATTTGCCAGGACTTGTCCCCACACACCTGCTGCAGAGATAGTACCAGCCTCCTTGAAATCTTCAGGTCTTGAGAAGAATTGACTCCACCAATGTCAACTCCTGTCTGTCTACCCAGAAGCCCGGGTCAGGGAGCTCCAGACTGCAGGCACTCCTGATGTCTTGTGTTCACTTTGCTCTCAAAAATGCCTGGAGCCTGAGGTACTCTGGTGGTATACACACAACAGATAGACTCATGTGTGTTCCCATGGACCCGTCACTTTGGATTGGAAATGTTTACCTTTCGTAATGAATTAAAATCCCATGTTGTTGTTCCCATTTAACAGATAGGAAAACTGAGGTTCTCTTGCCAGTAGCACTGAGGCTGGGAAAAGGGGAACTGGGACTCTCAATTTCCTTCCGCTTGCACCAGGAACAGGTTCTCCTAGCTCCTCTCCCCAAGCCCATGGCAAGGTGAGGGGATGGGAGGGCAGAATGGCTCTCATGTGCCCAGACTGTATCCCTCCAGGGAGAATGTGTTACGAAACCTAGTGGACAAGGCCTTTGATCGGCCCATCTGTGAGGCCCTCTTGGACCAGAGATTCTTCAATGGCATTGGCAACTATCTGCGGGCAGAGATTCTGTACCGGTCAGCAGGCAGGCCATGGGCAAAAAGGTGAGGGTGGACTGGGTGTGTCCACATTCCACATTGCTTAGCATGGCTCTCTCCACCCCACTGTAGGCTGAAGATACCCCCCTTCGAGAAGGCCCGCACAGTTCTGGAGGCGCTGCAGCAGCGTAGGCCGGTGAGGATGCAGGGAGGCAGGCATGCACCTATTAGTGAGGACCAACAAAGGGTATGGGGCTGGGTCAGGTGTCTCCAGTGTAACTCAAGTCCTTTCTGGGCTTTGGGCCTTTTTCCTCTGCTCTATAATGTATTAAGGGATGGGGGTGGTGCGGATAACCATCTCTCCAGTCCTGATAAACTCAGGATCTGCTCCTTGGGGGTTCAGCTGCCTTCTGAGTGGCCCTGCCTGCGTCCCTTCTCCAGAGCCCAGAGCTGACCCTCAGCCAGAAGATCAGGGCCAAGCTGCAGAACCCGGACCTACTGGAGCTGTGCCACTCAGTGCCCAAGGAAGTGGTCCAGCTGGGTGAGGCCCAAGAGGCAAAGATGGCCAACTTCAGCATATTGTGTAACCGTGGGACAGTTGCTCCTGCTCTCTGGGCCTCGTTCCTTGCCTGGGGAATGGAAGTTTGTAGACCTAGTTGTTACTAAATGGACTATGCCTCCTCAATTGTTAGGTGTCTGTGTCCTCCAAACTTCCCATGAGATAGGCAAGGCAAGGATTCTTAACCCCATTCCAGGATGGGCAAGCCATAGCCCAGAGTTGGGAAGACACAGGCCTCTGATTCATCAGGCTCCCCCTCCTGACAGCCTGAGTCTGACCTCTGACCTCTGCCTGGTTTCTCTGTCTACAGGGGGCAAGGGCTATGGGCAGGAGAGTGGAGAGGAGGACTTTGCGGCCTTTCGAGCCTGGCTGCAGTGCTATGGCATGGCAGGCATGAGCTCTCTTCGGGACCGGCACGGCCGCACCATCTGGTTCCAGGTTTGGGCCCTAATGCTTACACAGGCAAACAGAAACAGGTGTGGTGGGAAGACTTGGGGTCAGAGCCAGGCAGGACTGGGGTCTCTGTTTATGCTCCCAAGGATCACCCTGTCCCTTGAGGGTCTAAGCCTTCCCTATGTTATGCCCCTCCCATCCTATGAGTCCCAGCTAGTGGAACAGCCCATGTCAGGGTGGCCTTGATGTTGGTTTTGACCTGGCAGGGAGGGTCAAAGAGGCTTCCTAGGAGAGGAGTTATACTGATCTGGAAGGACAAACGTGAGCCCTGCCTCTCCAAGGAAAAATCCCTGCCCCAACCTGGCAGATTTTTGAATTCTCCCCATTCCATTTTAGGGGGATCCTGGACCTCTGGCACCCAAAGGTAAGCTACTTATAATATAGTAAGCACAGAAAGCAGAAAGGATGAGTTGCCTACAAGGGCTGCAGCAGTCTCCAGTCCCTGGGTGTCATCCCAGAATGGGAGAGTGGGATTTTGGAGAAAGGGCCTGAGGCTATAGGACCTTGTAACCCTAGCATCACTGTCCTGCAGGGGGCAGGCCCCACAAAAAGAAATCCAAGGGAGCACAGCAGAGTCCTGAGGACAAAATGGAGGTATGGCTCCCTGCTCCTAACTCCTTCCTGTATTTTCTGCTGCCCTGGCCACACCTCCCAGGCTAGGCTTTGGGGCAGCTGCCTTCTATTCCTCTGAACTGCTTTCTGAGTCCCTAAGGAATCTGTGTCTTCTCCACCCAGAACCCTCCACCCCCTAGCAAGGCCCCTTCCAAGACACGAAGGGCACGGAGAGGCCTTCCTGAGCAAACTACAGCCCAGCAGCCCAAGAGGACCAGCCTCCAACAGGACCCAGGAGTATCCCCAGTCACTGAAAAAGGGAAAAGGAGGGGGCGACAAGCTTCAGGTGGGCCTTCCTCCTCCTCCTCCTCTGGGGTACCACTAAAAGGTGCTCTCCAGGAGGAAAGGATGGTAGTGTGGACAGAGGAGGGAGGAAGGAAGGGAGGCTGTAGGGGCAGTCCTCAGCCTGGGGTCTGAGCTGCCACTTCACCTGTCCTCCCTCCAGGCTTCTGCAGACCCCAAAGGATCAAGGCTGACACCTCATCTTTGGAGACTGAGGGGACCTCCGCCTCTTAATAGGATCTCCTTACTTGCATCTACCCCTTCCTGCTGCCTTGCCCTGGATCTGGGAGCCTGTGTGTGGCTTCCTAGAAGCAGGAAGTAGTTGAGGAGATTGGATGCCTATGGCCCTATTGCTGTTACCTACACAACTATGTTTTTAATTTTACTCTACCTTCCCCAATTTTTAAGCCCATGTAAAAGATGCTGTTTTATTATTCTTTTTCATAAATTGATGAACTTCTTGGGCTGGCTGCAGGTCTGGGATGTCCAAGTTAGGGAGGCCTGTTGCGTGGCCCTGAGGACAGGAGGGCTACCTCCTCAGCAAGGCAAACTGAGCCCTATCCCAGTCCTTAAGGCCCTGGCTCTCAGAGGACAGTCTGCCTCTGCAGACACAGCCCCTCAGAGGTAGAGCAGAGACCCCAGCCCCAGGCAGCCCAGGCTCCATAGCTCCTCCAGTCTAGGATTCCATCAGGGCCTATGGTTGCTCCTTAGCCTGGCCCTGACTAGTCAGTGTTCCCCTCCCAGTGGGGGCCAGCAGGAACATACCCAGCCACTCCCTCCCCCACTACACACACACAGGGGAGGAGCTTATCTCATGCTGTCTTAGTCAACTTGTGATAATCGGTATGCCCACTCTAACAGGGGCTGCAACCCAGACCCTGCACACACAGATTACCTTAGATTTTGTCCCTGCCCCCAAATGCCTGTGAAAAGAGGATGGGCCGAAAAGGGAGAGCACATGGGCTACCAGCAGGATTCCCGAGCCAAGGATTTATTGTTCAGGAGGCGACTCATCCTTGCTTCAGGCTGGGGAGGCAGAAACTAGGAGCCCCCAAAGCCTTCCACAAACAAACCCCACTCTCAGGGACTCAAGTTCGGTGGGGGCTGCAGCACGAGCAACAGGGACCGCACTTGGAAGGGAGAAAAGGTGAGCTTCAAGCGGGCATCCCTAAGGGGCAGGTGGCCAGCAGGATCACGCTGTTCCAGGAGGTCGCAGCTGGAGAACAGGAGGGGCCATGAGGACCCTGCGAGGGCAGGACTCCCACCTCCCACCCCACACCCCACTCACAGGACAGCCTCCTGAACTGGTAGCGATGTGTGCAGCCAGCAGTCCACATGGCTGCCGTGGGCCTCATACAGCCTGAGGACCAGTGTGCGGCCCTGGGGACTAGTCTCCGCCTGCAGAAGGAGGTAGGCGGTGGGTGGTGGGCGGGACCGAGGACAAACCAGCCTGGACTCCGCCCCATCCTGCCCCTTGCCTGCTTGACGGTCTCCAGCACAACTGCAGGCGAGGACACTGAGAAGGCGCTCCAGGCAGCAGCCGGCGCCGGGCCCGGAGCGGGCAGCACCAACAGTGGAAAATTGAGGCTGTAGGCTGCACGGATAACGCCAGCGTCCTGGAGGGAGCCTGGGCCAGAAAGGAACACGTGGTAGAAATGGGGGTAGGGGTACTGGGCTGCTGTTTCTCCACTGACCACTGGAGAAACCGAGGCTCAGAAAAGGGTAGTGAAGGGGCGCGGCAGCACTCACCCTTGTGCGGCATCAGCGCGTAGGTGAACTCGTGGCGCCCCATGTCAGCAGTGGCGTCGGGAGCCTTAGGTGCCCGCAAGCTGGCGAGCAGGAAGAATGGGCTGGGCTGGAGTTCTGGCTAGGAAAGACCTGAGTCCCCATGCCAGCCCCCAGACCTGGCAGGCACCCTACTCACAGAGAAAGGCTGAGGACATTGCCTCGCACTGACGCGCCGTACTTGCAGTCATTGAGCAAGGCCAGCCCAAAGCCGTGCTCTGACAGATCCATCCAGCGGTGAGCCCACACCTGGAGGCAAATGAGGCCCACTTGGTATCCCCTCTTCCTTGTGCTCCTGAGCTCCTTTCACTAGAGTGAGGGCAAGCCCTAGGACCCTAGGACTGAATTCCAAAATAAGAGGCCCTGTACACACCACCCAAACTGTCTAAGCCTCGGTGCCTCATTAGTGCAATGGTAAGAAGAGTTCTTACCCCACCAAATGGGCACAAGTTTCAAACTAAACATAAAGCATTTAGCACAATGACTGGCACACTTTCGGAACTAGCAAATATTATTCCTCTTCCTCCTCACCCCATTCTACACAACTAGTGTCAGCCTGGGTGGATCCAAACCCCATACCCTACCCATGTCAGACCTCAAATCGAGCCCAGTCCCAAGAGGTGTTGCAGTGGGTGGGCCTCTGCAGGTGCCCAAACTGGATCTCATAGGTGGCCTGGGGGCTCCGCACACGGGCAGGGAACTCCACCTTCAGGAACTTGTGGGCCTCGTGCCAGTGCACCTGGGGTGGTAGTAAAAGGGTGAGGGGAGGGAGAGACACACATAGGCCTGGGGCTGGCCCGTCTTTACCAGCCACCCTGTCCCCGCTACCTCAGTGTGGAAGCGGACATAGGGGCAGCCAACATCCAGTACAACTTCCTGGCTGAGCCGACTGTTGGGGCTGATCTGCAGCAGGAACCAGGCACTGCCCCGCACACCACCCTCAGTGCCCACTGCCAGGGTCCCTGCCTGTCCCAGCACTGGCTTCCTGTGGATAGGGGTGGGAGGAGCTAAGCCAGGGTCAGCTAATTGGGGGTGGGGAGCAATAGACCTATATGCCTACCACTACCACCCCAAGTTCTGCCCGCACCGTGTCTCCAGGTGGTAGTCCATTACGTCCCAAGCATCCCAATATAGGGGAACATCGTCAAACAGCACAAACTGGTTCCCCACAGCACCCTCAGCAATGGTCTCCCTGGAAGGAGATGAAACTGTATGACCTTGGTCTCTCCAGCTGCTTGAGGTGGGGTGTAGGCAGGGTGAGTAGGTCCAGGGGACAGGGGTCTCCTAGTCCAGCCTGCCCTGCTCCATGAGTGGGTCCTAGACTAGAGCCAATGGTGGACTGCTGTGGGCAGTGCTGTGGCCAGGGGTCTGGGAACCACCTGCCAGACAATGGAAGAGGGCAGTGAGGGGTTGGCACCTGCCAGAGGCCACCAGCACCAGGGATGTCAGGCGGCCTGTCGGGTCCAGCCTCACTCGGATGATGCCGTTGTCCAGAGTCACAGAACCATCAGTCTTGGCAGGAGGGAGCCTTGAAACTGAGTCGGCAGGGGCTTCCCACGACCAATAGCCCCCCCAACCCCAGCCCCAGCCCCGCCTCACCACTTGCTCCAGACTGGGGAGCTCAGGAACCCCATGTTGTAAAGGATGGCCCAGGACAGCCCCGGCCCAACCTAGGTGTGTCAGCACTCACCTCTTGCACGACAAACACAGGCTGCTGGGGCAGCAGGGGCTGCAGTGAGGTGGGGGCAGGAGCATAGCCCATGCTGGGAACTGTCACCAGTGCTGGGGATGAGGCCTGAGCATCAGTGTAGCCTCAACTTCTAGGAGCCTTGCTTTGGGGTGAGGGGGCGGGGGTGGATACTACTACTACTGCTACTCTCCAGCCTGGGGCACCCCAGGGCAGAGATTCCCAGGGATTCCTGGACTCTCAATCTAGCCTTGAGCCCTCTTGCAGCAGTAGCAGCCCCTCTCCCCAGCTCATACCTAGGCTGTGGGCTCCACCAGACCTAGGCAGGGCCAATACTTCCGTGCGCTTCCAGGGTAGCGTGTTGACAATGAGGAGGCCCTCAGGACCTGGCTCCCCAGCACACAGGGCTGCGGCTGCAGCGCTGAGCAATGTGTTGCCATGGGAACGGATGTCTGAGGAGAGACTGGTTGGTCACAGGTGGGCAATGGGTCTGAGATGACCCAAGTATCCCACTGGGGATACTCTGGGTTCAGCCCTGGGTGTTAGAGAGAACAGTGGGAATATTGTCAGCCTAACCTTCGTAGTGGCACATGGCTTCCTCTGCCACCAGCTGAATGCAGCTTCCAGTCACTACGTCATGGAACTGGTTCAGGAGCAGGAGCCTGCAGGAGCCAAGGGCAGAGATGGGGAAGGATGGGAGGGTGTGCTTAAGCTGGGAGGGGCTTAAGCCACAGAGGTATCTGGGGTAAGGTCAGGTGGGTGGCAGAGGGCAGAGCCAGGCTGACCTCCAAAGATCCTGCAGCTGGGTTGCTGGGTATAGGAACTGGGCACTGCGGGCCAGAGCCAGGCTGCTGAGCAGCTCCACGTCGTGCAGGATGCGCTCACATTCCCGGTTCCCCTTCTTGATCTGAGCCCAGGCCAGTGGGAGGGAGTATCAGAATCTGCTCAAGCATCCCAGGATACCTTCCAAAGCCTTCTCTGGCTCAGAACCCTTGAAGGCTCCCTAAAGTCTCCTGGATAAAGCCTTTTGTGGGTGATGTGTCCCAAATGTCTTCCTCCCTCAGTCCAAGCCTCCTTTAGGTTCCTGACCTACCCAGCTCTTATACTTCTCTCCTCTCAGCTCCTCCTTGGAACACAAGTCTCCCCCACCGCCCACCCCCCAGATCTGGGTAGCTCTGTCTCCTGCTTCCTTCCCTGACCCTTTATAGATCAAGGATACACTTTCCCTGCTCAGTTGAGTGGCCAGCTCCTGACCTGGGCGTGGGTGGTATAGGTGCCATTATGCAGCTCCAGGAAGAGCTCCCCGACCCATGTGCACAGCTGCCCCGAGTCACTCTCCAGAGCTGAGAAGAGTCGTGCCGGAGAAGACAGCTGCACCCTGAGGAAGACCGCAAGCCTGGCTCACCCTTCCTCCATACCAGAGTACACAAGAGATCCAGACCCTAAAGAAAGGAGCTGCCCCCACCCAGAATGCTCCCTGTCCAAACAAAGCCAATTCTGGACACTCCAGGAGAGGTCTCTCTCTGGTGAGTTTAAGCCCTTTCCCACTCTTAGCTTTTCCCCCACTCTGCCCCTAAGGTGGAAGTTGGGAGAAGCCTATGGTCCAGGATTGGAACAGGACAGGCCCAGTGGAGGGGTAGGGCCAAATGTTTAAGCAGAAAGGAGGGTTCAAGGCAAGGGCTGTGGACAGGGCTGGGTGAGCAGTTCGGTGAAGGCTGCAGGCAGGACATGCCTGACCTAGGCAGCCCATCTGTATTGCACAGCCGTGTCAAGCGGTCCACCATGGTCTGAGTGGGGCCACCGCCCCCATCCCCAAAGCCAAAGAGGAAGGCACTGTGGTTGGTCCGTCCTTTGTCCCGGTTTTTGGTCACGGTCTTCAGCACCTAGACAAGCAGGGGTATGTCAGCATGGGTCAGCCCAGGACAGAACACTCAGCCCTCTCCAGCCTTCCCTCCCTCGCCCCACACCTCGGCCACTATGTACTCTCTCACCTCCTCCACACTGCCCTCCATCCCATATGAGTCACCGGGTGGGAAGTGGACCAGCACACGCGAGCCATCCAGCCCCTCCCAGAAAAAGGTATGGTGCTTCAGGCAGGGATACAGAGGTAGAGGAAAGGCCAACATCAGGGTTGAGGCAGAGCCAGGCCTTCCAGACCTGCCCTGCCCGTTGTGTGACCCTGGAGGAGGCAAGCCCTCTCTGGGTAGGGGTTGGGTGGTTTGTTCAGGACTCCTGAATAAGCATGGGGAGAGATGAACGGGTCAGGTGGGACTCA